AACTGTAACAGTAGCATCAACAACAATATCAAAATCGATAACGTCAACAGGAAATACAAAAAAGGCACCACCATCGTCAGTGTTACTACTACCAGCAGCAGCAGCAACAGCACCAGTAGTAGTAGTAGTAGTAGTAGTAGTAGTAGTAGCAACAGCCGCAAAAATTAAACACAACCAGTACAGCATCGTTAACCAAGACATTAATAATGGCAGCAGCAACAGCATTATCCCCACCGATAAGAAGAACAAGAAAAACGAGGTTATCAGTTGGGGGGAGCAAGCAAACCAACATTTTCACGCAAAAATATGCTATACATAATGTTTAAATATCTACCTTTCTGCATTTAAAAAATCGAACCATCTCGTCAAAACACTACTTATATTTTTAACTTTATAAAATATTTTGTTTTTGTTTTTCTGTTTCCAGGTGACCAGAGGTTCGTTGCCCAACCTAAACCTCAACCTTCCGTCTGAGTTGTCAGTGTTTGCTGTGGAAACACTGTAGTGACAAATCATAACATATCGGGCCTCCATAATGACCTTCCTCTGGCCGTGCTTGACCTGAGACATAAAACAGTACGAGACAAAGATCTTCTTCACTTCTGAGTGCACCATCCATAACGTAGCTACGACTCTGTCCTCAAGTCAGATCTATGACTCCTCCTAGATTGGTGGCAATGTCGTGACCGTTCGAAGCGGAAGTAAGCCAGCCATAATTCATCTATTTATAGAACCACCAGTATTGTTTTCACGTCCACCTGAGCAAAAATGGCACTAATCACTCTAGACCGATCTATATCATCGCGGTCTTTCTCATCGCCTCTATCATCGAATCTCCGAGCTTTCATTGTAATAGTGCAGATTACCATTTTGTTGACTTGCCTCCCCCTTGCCTCGGGATTTTTTGGAGAGTGGGGTCCTGATCTTGAGGGCCCCTGGTGCGCAAAGAGGCCCCTCGACTCTCAATGCTGTGACGGTCGGGACGACTACTGTGGCGTCCCCATCCTGGGCACGGAATGTTATTGCGACATCTTCTGTAACGAGACGGCTTACGACTGCTGTCCGGACTACTGGCAACACTGCCACGGTCACTTCAGGCCCACCACCACCCCCAGGCCCACCACACTGCCCACGCCGCGGCCCGTCAGGGGTGAGTACATCATTTTTAAGTTGTTTTTACGCCCCCATCGACACAATTGAGTTCATACAGAACTCGGGCTTCGACCCTTCGTACCTGACAGGGCTAACCAGGGCTGAGAGGGACACAAGGCACAGCGTCCCAACAGAACGACCGAGATATTCGATAAAAATTTATTCTCCCCTCCCCCCCCCCTCGGGAATCGAACTCGAATCTCCTGTGTGTTACAGCGAAGGGCCTGACCGGTACACCACAGACGCCGGTGGTGAATACATTGCATGTCAATATCTACACAATATGAATGCTCGTAGATGTCTGGTGCTATGGGCGAATGTTTGTGGTCTTTGGTTATGCAATAACATGTGAAGGACACAAAGGAAGAATAAGACTTCATGTCAGTTTTTGGATAATGTTGAGTTGGGACATGGGTTGGAAAGTGTTTATGCACCTCCTCTGGCCCATCTTACTGTCCAGGGCTAAGACCTGATGAGTCGCCCAAAATCAGGCTTGGAAAATAAGCTGTACTATGGACCAAAAAAACATGGACAGTCAAGCGTTTCATTTTTTTTTTCTTAAAATGTCAAACTGTAACATCCCTTGTCTTTCCCTTATTCCCTTCATGTTTTTTTTAAATACAACATTTGGGCGAACAGCTTTCGATTTAAGTGGAAGGTTGATTTTGCAGGACTGAATGTAGACTTGAATGATGGAATGGATTCTTAAACTATTGTTCTTGAGCGTGGTTGGGGAGACCGAAGCTTTCAAATGAGGGGCGGGGTTCAGAGTCAACATTTAATATATTTTTTTCAGTTTAACTTTTCTGTTGTTAACCGAATATACGAGTCAACAGTATTGTTGGCGTTTCCGTTGGCCCGCCTCAAAATGGCACGTACATAATAATATTAATATTGAAATATGCTGTAACACGTTACCATCATGCCAATTATCTTGAAACAGAAGACGGTTAACTTCCTCTGTATCTGAATGCATTAATGCAGCCACATGGCCCACCGCTTGTCAAAAAGGACATTTTGATAGTACATTGAATTTGCGGTCTAGACTAAAATGAACGTAGAAGAGGTGAACATCTGTAACGTTATGCTCCCCCATATTGTGCTGTTGCAATAGGTAGCAGAATGTTCGTACATTTCTCCAGTCTCGGTCAGTGGACGAGTGGAGAAGAACCACTGTGAATAATAATATTACTGCGAAAGTGCATATCAGATTAAAAGGGGAATACGCGTAGAATGTATTTAATATGTTAATAGCTGAACATTTTAAAGGTGGTTGGTAATAAGAGGCCGTTTTGACATAATTGAATGACCATTAATTGGGAGTATGCAGGTGCAGGGGATTGGGATTTGGGGGG